AAATCTATTATTCCCTGGACTTTCCAGCATTAACTCTGCTTAGTCACTTCTCACTATGTCTAAAATATCTTTCATTAAAATATCTTTCATTAATAGTGGTGCATCTGAACTAGGATGATTAAAGGATTTCAATAAAGGCAGTGATAGCAGTGCCAAGGACACCAGGCACTTTCTGAGCCCCCAGAAAGCCCAAGATACAGTGACAGTTAGAAAATTAATAGCAAGTAAGAGCGTGCCAGGTACACTGCATGTTTCTTATCACAACCAATTCCAAGAGGCAACCTTCCTTGAAGTTCCAGCCTCAACCCACGGAGGATCTCACGCGGGCTTCATTGGAGGTGGTGTGACAATACATGAAAAGAGTCACTTTACATGTCAAAATATTATAAAGATTTCATTTAGCTCCAGGGTTTCTGTGCTTAGATTTTGTCTGAAAGACCTGTCTATAGGTGATAGTGGAGTGTTAAAGTTACCTACTGTCACTGTGATAGAGTCAGTTTGTGATTTTAGATCTAATGCTATTTCTTTTATAAAATTAGATGTGTGACAATACATGAAAAGAGTCACTTTACATGTCAAAATATTATAAAGATTTCATTTAGCTCCAGGGTTTCTGTGCTTAGATTTTGTCTGAAAGACCTGTCTATAGGTGATAGTGGAGTGTTAAAGTTACCTACTGTCACTGTGATAGAGTCAGTTTGTGATTTTAGATCTAATGCTATTTCTTTTATAAAATTAGATGCCCCTGTGTTTGGCACATATATATTTAGGACTGAAATATCCTCTTGGAGGATTTTTTCTCTAATGAGTGTAAAATGTGCTTCCTTATTGTTTCTGACTAGTTTTAGTTTGAAGTCTATTTTGACAGATAGTAGAATAGCTGCACCTGTGCATTTCTTAGTTTCATTTGTTTGAAATATCCTTTGCCAGGCTGGAGAGGTGATTTAGCTGTTAACGGCACTGGCTGCTCTTGCAAAAGACCCAGGTTTGAATCCCAGCATCCACATGGCGGCTAACAAATATTGATAACTCCCATTCCAGGGTATGTGACACCCTCTTCTGTGCACTGCAAGACACGGGTGCATTTACAAGCATACAGGCACAACACTCATACACATAAAATAAGAATAAAGAAATTTAAAAAAGAAATATCTTTTGCCATCATTTTAGTCTAAGGTAGGTGTCAATCATTGACGGTTAGACATGTTTCTTAGAGGTAACAAAAAGATGTATCTTATTTTTTAATCTAATCTGTTTGTGTCTTTTTATTGAGGAATTGAGATAGAATTGAGAGTTATTATTGACTGATGTTTATTCATTCTTGTTATGTGGTTAGGGCAATTTCTTAGGCTTCTTTTAGCTAACTGTTCTGGAATTAGTTATTCACTGTGTCCTTTTGCATGAAGAGAATTAAAAACCTCCTCTTCAGACTGGAGTATTCCCTCTAGTGTCCTTCATAGACATGGCTTAGGGGACATGAATTCCTTAAATCTGTTGTCATGGAAATTTTTTTCTCCTATTACAACTGATGGTTTTCCTGGACTGGCATCTGTATTCTTTCATAACTTATAGGACATCAGTCCAAACCCTCTGGTTTCCATAGTCTCTATTGAAAACTCAGCAGTTATTCTGATAAGCCTGCCTTTACATGTGACTGGATCTTTCTCTTACAGCTTTCAACATTTTTTTCTTGGTTCTGTACATTTAGTGCTTTGACTATAATATGACATAGGGAGTTTGTTTTCTTTTCTGATTCTGTTTATTTGGTGTTATGTAGGCCTCTTGCACCTTGATAGGTATCTTTTTCTTTAGATTTTCGAATTTTTCTTCTATGATTTTACAGAAAATGTTTTTTTCTGTGTCTTCAACCTGGGTTTCATCTCATTCTTCTATACCTACAAGCAATAGGCTTTGTTTTTTTATGGTGCCCTAAAGGTCTTGCATGTTCCATTCCTCGTATTATTTTAGATTTAACATTCTCTCTGAGTGATCATGTCCTCTGCCTTAGCTTCAGGATTTGATGCGTTCTCTTCCACTTTGTCCAGTATGTTGGTGAGATGATCCTCTAAGCCTTTTCTCTGATTTCCCAATTTGTTCAAGTTTTATTTCAGTTTGAATTTTCTTCAGAGATTCTCTTTATTGAATTCTAATTTCATATCTTGAATTGTTTTACTTGTTTTATTCAACTGTTTGTGTTTTGCTGTCTTCATTCAGTCTTTTATTCATAGGGAATACCCAGGAACTATGCACAGGAAAAGACTTTCTGAACAGAAATATCTTGAATTGTTTTACTTGTTTTATACAACTGTTTCTGTTTTGCTGTCTTCATTGAGTCTTTTATTCATAGGGAATACCCAGGAACTATGCACAGGAAAAGACTTTCTGGTCAGAACCCCAATAGTGAGGTTTGAAGACCAACAATTGATAAGCAGGACCTCATAAAACTGAAAAGTTTCTATAAAAGTTTCAGCAAAGAACACCATCATTTGAGTGAAAAGGCAACCCACAGACCGGGAAAATATCTTTGCCACCTATACAGCTGACTGAAAACTAATACCTAGAATATGAAAAGAACTGAAAATTTCAAACAAGAAAACAACCAAATTAAAGATTGGAGCAAAGATCTAAACAGAGCATTCTCAAAAAATGAAGCACAAATGTTGAGAAATAGTTTTGTTAACATTTTATTTACTTTTTACTTTAAATGTGCGTGTATTGCCTGCATGTAGGTAAGTGAACCCATGTCATACAATGCCCATGGGGGACAGAAGAGGCTGTAGGATCCACTGGAACTGAACTTAGGGACAGTTGTTAGCTGCCATGTGGGTGCTGAGATGTGAATCCGGGTCTTCTGCAAGAACAACCAGTGTTCTTAGCTGCTGAGCCATCTCTTCATCCCCAAGAAATAGTTTTTAAATGTTCAATATATTTAACCATCAGGTAATACAAATTAA